CCAGAGGACGTGTCTCGTGACTCTCGATCATCGTGCTCGAGTTACAAAATACTTCTCGCCGAGCGGGAAGCATTCTAATTTAATTAGAAACAATCTCTCCCAAGAACTTTCCCTCGAGTGATTCTTTGCTACCAAGAAATTCCCCGACGAAGGATTCAGCGATCGAGAACTGCCAAGATAGTCGTTGCTCGTACGCAGAACTTCGTCACTCGATCAAAGTTTGATTTTCTCTTTCGCTCGACTCAACGGACGACGTCCTTTTTTCGAAAAACACAGGAAAGCAACACAACAGCAAAGACAAACAGACGTTTCTCGTGTTCTCCAGCACGGCGAACGAATCTATGAAAGGAAAGGTGTCGTTGTTGTTTTCGATTCCGTCTCCGACGACAGAGGAGATCTCCTCGACAGAGAACCCCTTCCACCCTCCTCCCACCCCCCCTTGGGTTTCGCGTGCAGCAACCCCGGCCGGCGTGCCACGATCGTCTTATCCGGCGAAAAAAAATCCTCGCGATGTCCCTGAGCGCGGCTCTTGAACTTAGAAGTGTTGTGCGCATCCTTCGCTCGCCGGAAGATATTGTTACAATCGCCCTGGAACAGCGTCGCGTTGCCGGGGGGGGGCTGTCGTTTATCGTCCACCAGTATATTGAGTAGCGTGCGACCGCGCGAGGAAAGCGAGTCCCGTTGCTGCGACCAGCGAAATTCCACCGGTGCGAAGGCAGTCGTCCAGATTCGCCATTTCGGCAGCTTTGCTCTTTACAATCTTCGCCAGTTAACAACTACCCCCTTCGACAGACAAGCTTACCGTCACGTTTTCAATATTTCCAATTTCTTTTCTTTTCTCTTCTTGTTCGCTCTTGTTTCCTCGCCGTTTTCACTGCCGATGCAGATATCTCTTTCCTCTCCTTTCGGAATTTAGTGAAATTCAGTCGACGATGTAATTCCCGGCGAAACACTGGCAGGTGTTTGGGTTCGTTTGGTTTGTGACAAAAGGGGTGCAAGACGCTACCGGAACGCTCGGTAAGACAGCTTTCCCTGACAGCAGTGTGTATGTGTGTGTGAAACGTTGACGAAAGACGCGAGATACGTAACATGGGGATTCCAGTGCGGTTTGGTGAAAAAGTTTTTCCACCCTTTGTTCCTCGATGGAGGACAACACCGCGGAGAAGAACCGGAGGAGAAAAATTCGAAATTTACTTTGACTCGATATTCATTCGCAGAGAGAATAGGCTACGAAAAGGTAAAGCATCTTGCTGAGAGAGACAATCCCTTTGACGATTTCTCACCAATCGTCTTCTAAAATTTTCGAAAGACTTCTCGGCGACTTTCTCGACAGACACAGAGAGAGAGAGAGAGAGAGAGAGAGAGAGAGAGAGAGAGAGAGAGAGGAATTCCAAGACGCTCGAACGGTTCGTCGCGTTACGAAATTCCCGGCAACAATATGTCGCAGTCGGGAAGGCAAAGACGGCGCGCGATGGCGATGCAGGCCGCGCGTGTACGCGCACGCCGGCCCGCGTTGACAAACTAATCCCCGCGTTATATCGGGTGATCGTAAAGCACGCGGTGACAAGTCAACAGCCGTGCGTAGTATTTTCGTGGGCGGCTGCGACGAATTTTCGCGACGCGTCTCTGTCTCTCGGAAACACGCGACACGTACCTATACACGCGCTCACGACCAACGGAATTTCTCTACCGATGCCTGCCGTGTCTCGCGCAGCGATCGAGCAGCAGCGTCTGCTCTCTCCCACCGTTGGAGAAATCCTGTGATCCCTCGTTACTTCGAGAGCCAAGTCGACGCTGATAATTTCGCGGCTGAGCGTTCGGCGAATTTTACATGTCGAGCGACTTTGAAGTCCGACCCAACTCGACGATTGATCGTCCGTTCGTCGGCAAGAAAAATCGGCTCCTGCACGTCACTCTCGACAGATTTTGTCACTCGTTTGCTAATCGACAAGTCGAAATTTATTCGATTTCTCAGTCCCTCGCAAATTTTCACGGTCCTCGCGATCTTAATAAAGACTCTTTTTCAAGAGTCTTCAACCGATCAAGGTTGTTACTCCCCGGTATTTCCTCACCGATAGATGAGGATTTTTCTCTCGAGAAAGGAAGAGGCTTTGTCTCGGTTGTGCGGCGATGTATCGATGATTCCACGACAGAGGTGAAATCGATCAGCCGAAAGGCGTATACAGCAACAAGTAACGCGGCAAGTTGGCGGCGTGAATCGAGTTACAGTTGTTTTCGTTTCCGCGTCAACAGCGGCTATCATCCACCAGCGGCGATGATTAACTCGTGTAACCGGCGAACGCCGCGGAAATTAAAGTTGCATTATCCAGGACCCGACGCCGGTTAACTCGACTGTCACGAAGTGTGCTTAACACGGTAACGCGGATTAACGCGTTCGCCGGAAGCGGCGCGTCTTTCACGGTTTGCGGCAATCGGGGGGAAAGGAGGAGGGGGAGGGGGAGGAGGAAGCGCTTCGACAACGCTTCGACCCCTCGCGCATTTCGCAAACGACGTTCCTCTTCTTCTTCTTCTTCTTCTTTTTTTCTCCCCCCCTTTGACGCAGAGAAAATTTTTGAAATTCTTTGAATTGTTATTGATCGACGCCACTCTCGATGGTTGACGAATCGTACCGTTTTCGAGGACGCTGTCGCGATGCAAAGTCGCGACGCAACTTGGAAAGTTTGACACAATGGCGTGATTGTGATGAGAGAAAGAGGGGTAAGTTGTTTGAGATTTTTTTTTTTTCTTTGTCGAAAGATTTCACGTCGCTGTTCTTCCATCATCTGTTCCGTAGTTCGTTCTTAGTTCCAAGACCTGTCGTCCGGGATTTGAAATTGCAAGTACGAGTGTCGAAAAATTTGATTTTGAAGCTTTGTTTCCTTCCGTATTGGAAATTTGTATCGAGTTCGAACTGCACTCGGCAAATTTTGGAGCACTGCTGTAATCGTGTAATCATCCATCTCCAATTGAAACTTCGAAACACTATTGTGGATAGTTTAGTTTCCATTTTTTGACTCGACGAGAATGTGTCTTCGCGACGATGTGATTATCACGGATCGTCAAAGTTTTGTCAATTGTCTGCTCGTATTCCGAAAGTGTCATAGTTAAATTGCAATCGTATTGAGTGCACGAGGGTACGAGATAGACGAAGATACGAGTTCGTGCAAGAGGACACTACGTTCAAAGCTCCTCGCACGTCGTTGAGACTCCCAAGAACCACGAACTCCGTGAGAACTGTTCGACTCTGAATTTGAAAACTGTCCGTATTTCCGCTGTGAACGATTCGAAATTTGTTAATGTAAAAACTGGATCAGGTCGTGGAGTTTTGCAGAAAAAAAAACTGGAGCTCTCACTCGCTTCCCCAATTTATTATTCGTGACGCACAAATAATGTAAATAACGCATCATGTATCGACCCCAGATTCTCCTGCGTTCCTTTAATCGCGACAAGTATCTTTATCTCCCAACCATAATTGCCGTCGATTTGAGAAACGCGAGGGGAACACAGTCTCAGACATTTCAACCCCTTTCGCCGCGGCGTAATCTCCGCGAAAATTCATCGTTCACGTGTTGGATCGTTGCCGAAAATTCAAAAAAGAAAAATCCTACGCAACCAAGTTGACGAGTGTTTCAACTCTTGAAACCGACGGTTTTCAAAAGATCCAACATATCGCGAAGAAACGTTCCGTACCCTTCTGGCCTACGATCGATATCGAACCTGGATGTCGTGAGAAGCAACGAACTTTACGTTCGAATCCCTGTAAACCAAGAAAAAAAAAAAAAAAGGAAAAAGAAAAATCACAAGAAAGAAAGAAAGAAATTTCATCGAAAGATATACTTCAAGTTCTCGCGCACTAATTCTTCTCGACCGAACAAGTTGAAGCGAGGGACGACAAGTCTTACTGGAGAGAACCGGGTGCGACATCGAGTCGGTTAGGAGGCAAGGGGTAAAGGGGCGCGGAATCGCGGACGAGATTTCGCGGCGAAGGGGGGTCAGAAAAGAAAGAAAAATGGAGGAGGGTGGGTCGTGTCGGTGGTCGGCGACACCGAAAAAGCCCGGTGGTGCTCGCGCGTCAGTAACCCCTTCGAAACTCAATCACACCTCGTTCTCCTCCGTTCGAACGTCTGAAAATCGTAACGGCGCTCGCAACAAAGGTAACGCTCAGTCACCAACGAGCAATCGAAGGGTTACTGTCTGCGGGACGGTCGGGCGTGTTGATGGGGCGTGTGGGGAGTGAAGGGGGGGGGCAGAGATCGGGGGGCCGAGAAGTTCGCGAGAGATCGCGACGAGGGGGCAGCGGAGGCGAGAGAGAGAGAGAGAGAGAGAGAGAAAGAGAGAATGATAGAGGGGGGTTGGCGAAGGGGGCGGGAGGTGGGAAGGGGGTTGTACGAGGGGCGGGAGGGGGGAGGCGAAAATAAGAAACACAGATACAAAGAGGAGAGGGAGACGACGCCGGGAGAAAAAGAGGAAGGAAAGAAGAAGGGAACCGGCACGATCGGCAGGGGTTGGAGAAAAGGGCGGTCGGGGAGCTGAAAATATGAGATCCGCTCTGGTAGGGACCACCTAGCCAGCCTCCGGTCCTTTCCGCGGCGTCTCCCTTCTCCGCGCAGCTTATCCCCACCACGACCACGCTCTCCTCTGAACGCTAGAGCCGCGGAGGAGAGTGGGAGAGCCGGGTGGCGGGCGATTGGCCAGCCGGTGGGCCGGCCGACCCCCACCACGTCGCCCGGGCTCCGCCCAATCCCCTCCAACGGCGGTGCACCTCCTCCAGACATCGCATCCGTCGTTCGGTAGCTCTTAGTTTCAGGTTAGGAGCCTGCTAGGACGGGTCTCGTACTCTCTTGCTGTGGTCAGCCGTGAGACGGGACGAGAGAGAGACGAAACGAGACGAGACGGAACGGAACCGAAACCGAGGGAAAAACCGAAGCCAGTGAAGTGTGACCGCGTGCAGTGTAATAGCCTGTATGTTCGTCGGTTTTTCCGCGCGAGTGTAGGTGTGATGCCGCGGCGAGAGGCAGCGACAGCGGCAGCGGCAACGGCAGCACGACGACGACGACGGGCAGCCTGACGTCCGGCCTGAGAGCAGATTCGGAGAACGTCTGTGTCGTGGTTCGGAGCCAGGAGCGACAGAGTACGTCGATGACTTTGGTGAACTCGGGAGGGACATTGTGCGATTCCGTGTGACCGTGGGGCCAGTGTGTGGTGCGACGGGTCCAGTGTGTTCCGGGACAGTGTCCGGGACTAAGGAACAGGAAGAGACGGTAGCGACGGGCCCGCCGGCCGAGGCGTGCGCCCCAGGAGGCGTCGGCGGCGCCGGCAAACCAAGGGGAACAGTTTTGGGCCCGGCGGAGAAGCTCGAAGCCGTCAAAGTGGCTTCGTCACTGGGCCTCCAGGGGCCTTCAGCGCCGATAGGGGCCCAACTACTGGCTACTGGCGGTTCGGAGGATGCATCGTCCCTGTACCACGCGAATCTGCTAGCCAGCAGCAACGCGTCCGTGCTCCAGCAGCCCGTTCTAGCCAGCCTGAACACGCCGGCACTGGCCAGCATGCAGGCCTCTGCGGAGGCCAACTCGCTGGACATTCAGGCCATGCAGTCCATGGACTGGCTGTTCAAGAAGGAGCGTATATACCTGCTCGCCCAGTTCTGGCAACAGGTAAGTGCTCGACGCGCTACGTCGTCTCGTGTTTTCTGTGATTCTTCCATCGTCTACCGTCTCCTATCGCCTCGCGTGTGTGTCTTTGCCCGTTGGTATCAGTGTCCGCACTCTCGAACGGATATATATTCGCCGTCCTGCTCCGCACCCTCGAACCGATTCACGTTTCGCTCGTGCCGATCATCCTCGCAACCTAACCCGAAGGGAAACGTCGACGCGTTTCCTACACATCGCAGTCACCGCGCGCGTTTACCCCGCGGACACTTGTAGCTTCCGGGCCCGGTGGACCCCGCCAACGCCCGTAAAAATTGTGAATGTGAACCTTTGAATTATCCTATAGGCCAGGATACGAGAAAAATCGTGCGGTGACAGTGGCAGCTGACAATTGAAATTCCCCACCTGAAATGAGTACCGTTTGCCCGCGAGAACAGTGACGACGATCGGATACGACCGATCGATCCGATCGATCGATCGTGATGTGAACGTTTCGAGAATGATATTCCATTGAGAGAGAGAGAGAGAGAGAGAGAGAGAGAGAGAGAGAGAGAGCACGAAATTAGTGAGAAATATTTCTCGTTCTCGCGGCAAATCGAATCACGTTCTCGTGAGTCTTTCGACTGGTAATTGCTGGTCAGGTTCCCGGCCACTTGGCCGACCCCGAGTTTCAACGAGGGTGCGAGGGTGGCGAAGTTTCCCCGACACTTGCTGTTTGGAGGATAGTTCAGCGATTTAGGGGATGGCTTGACCGACTTGCGGCAAACTGGCCTACATACAGTGGTTGACAACCTGATATTCTTTGTGTAGAGCGTACGTAAGGAAAAGAAACAAATCGTCGTGCTTGAACGTGTAGGGAAAAAGAAGTAGGTGTTTCAGTTTCAGGTGAAATCCGTAGTCGAGAATCTTTCGGTGAACGATTTGCGCGGAAACTCGTGGAAAGTCTCTCTCGAAACTATCGCGCGGTAAATTAATCTCAAATTAATTCTTTCTCCTTCGAATTCATCCGCGTATTTCGTAGGACAAGTGACAAACGCCGATTAAGAGTGACAGTAGTGTCTAAATTTCATAATAACTGCGACCGTCGATATTTGCGCGTTTGTAAAAAATTCAAAAATGAAAAGCAGAACATTTTGCTAGCAGACCATGCAAAATTGTACGAAATATCGAGAACGCGAGACAAACCTTTGCTCGGATCGTATCAGCGAGACCATGAATATGTATAAACATCTGTCGTCTGGCCGTAAAAATATCCTTCCGTTTCGAAATTGACTCAAGATTCATTATCGACGACGGAGATTATGATTATTTGCCAGTGTTTCCTAGTAACAACCGTTTGAATGAGGTTTGAAGAATTTCCAATTGTCAAAAGTGTAGTAGATATATTAGTCGCCCGAAGAAGAGACTCGCTGTAGTTTGCATAAACAAACTGACGTAAAACCGTTTTCTAACTCTTCCTCAGTGTATCGACTGACACGCGAGACATATATACACCCATATACACATATATATATATATGTATATATATATATATATATGTATATATATTTTTTTTTACAAGCTTGCTCATGATTTTGCATATCTTGTACACGACAAGACTTTTCGAACGTTTCGAGCGTGGCGAACGCTAATCTACGAAATTAACGGAAGCGTAATTATACAAATTTTCTGTCCGTTCCTGCCGGAGCGTGGGCTTATCGACGATTTTCCTTTCAAAGTGTCCACCAGGGAACGTGGTAGCTCACGGACACTTTGAAACCCGTTTCGCGATCAGTTTCTTTATTTCACGCGAACGTGCAACGCGAATGAACGAACGAACGCGGTTATTTATTTACCTTGCACCGCGAAAACCAGTCAGAAGAGAGAGAGAGAGAGAGAAAGAAAGAGATCGCGATCCAAAGTTGACAGCTCTGCACATCTCCCGTATATTTCCTGACGCTTAATACTTCACAACGAAAACGCCGTGGCCTCTCTTCATCGGCCAATCCGGCAACACACACTACTCGGAAATCTCTCGCCGTCATTCCAACGCATGGAAATAGCTGTTTACGATTAATGAATTCCTCGGTCAATCACGCCCTGCCTTAGCCTAATTACCTTTGAATTCTTGAGCTACTGCCGTGAGTTATTGCACTGTCACTTTGGAATATAATTTAATTTCGTTGCCTGTTAATTATTGTTCATCTGATACGTTAGGATACGATTTTTCTGTAGAAGAGAGAGAGAGAATCTTTTTCTTTCGTTCCGACGTCTCGAGAAGTTGTCAAAAGTCGTAATTTGCTTTAAAGGAAAAAAAAAAAAGAAAAAAAGAAAAATGAAAAATTGAAGGAAAGAGAAGAAAGAAAAAAGTTGCGATGGCTGCGAACGCGCGACGATCTTCCTTCCGTTCTCTGCCGCTCGGCTAGATGCTCCCGACAAAATACAACCGGTTGATAACGCGCGAACTGGCCCCGTACCGGTGGAAGATTACGAGCTAACCGGGTCGGGACTATTAATGGCACATAGTTTCGTAATTATGTTTATTGATTAGGCCGTGGGGTTAACGACGCCGGAACGTGGCTTCGAACGTCCGGAAAGCGGAAGACTCCGGACGAACCACCGGCGATCGGTTTCCGCCGTTTCGCGAGCGTGGCTGCGCCACTTCCAAAACTTGTCGATAACGTACACTTTCTTCTCGCTGTCTGTCGGTGGAAATTCACCTCGGGCGAATTTTGTGAAACGCGGAGACAATTATTGGCAAAGCCTGTCGTCACGTCCCCTTTCCCGGCTTAATTCGCTCGGACGTAATCGCAATAGACGCGGTGCGGAAAGGTCGTTTGCGAGAGGATCGATGAAGCGGTATAACCTGCTGACACGTTTCGGAGGAAAGTGAAAACGCCAAAAGCCAACCCGTTCTCCCCGTCGTCCAACCGTCATCTACCAATTTTCCCAGGGTGTTTCTTTTCGAACTAAGACGAGGATTCTTCGAGAGTTTCCTGGAACGTCGATGACGGACGCGTGATCTCGCGTTCAAATTGGTAAAAATCTGTCTCGATATCCGTCTCGTTTCGAAGAAAAGAAGCAGCAACTTGTGCTTGAGATCGAACGTTTCCACGCACCTTCCGACCGACAGTATCGTGTTAAATTTCAAAATTAGAGCCCACTGTGCCGTCGAAAACGAAGGATTCGTTATGCTACTGGAGCTGGCGAAAATTCCTCGGCCACGTCGACTTCCGATCTCGCCGATCGACTGTTCCCATCAATCCCTAGAAAATTCCCCAAACGCCTCGTTCGATCGTGGCTAACAACTCCGCCATTGATGCCAGGCTATCGTCGCTTAGGTTAGGTTTAGAAAACTATCGAAACAGCAGTGCGAGCAGTGTCGATCAGCGGCCGTTCCGGAATCGACGGCGCTCGTTGTGAAATTCCTGCCGGGTCGTCCGTGTGTCAGTCAGGGTAAAAATATGCCCGTCTCCCGAGGATTGATTTACGCGGGCGGCCAAAACCCGAAGTCACGCCGGACGTTTTCCGATTTTTAATGAAACCCTCCCCCTCTCCTCTTGCTTCTTCTCTGTCTTTCCAGTTAGCTGGAAGTTGAATCTCGCGGCTTAGAAAAATCGTCGCCAGTTAGTTATTGGTTGTTAGCGCGCTCGCGAGAGAGAGAGAGAGAGAGAGAGAGAGAGAAAGACTGAAAATTCGGAGAGGAGAGACAGAGCCGCGTCCGGTGGTGTTTTCCACGGAGCAGCCGTGCGCGTGGAACGAGACCACGAAGCGTACTCCCAATTAGGAGCGTGTCGACCGTGAATGGACAAAAGTTTTGCCATGACTCTGCTTCCCCTCTCGGCCCCCCACCCCGAGACCGGCGTCCCCCCTCCAGCGCTCGCCGGTCCGGAGGGGAGTAGGGGGATCCCCGACGCAGTTCCCGAGATCCCCGAGTGGCGGCGACACTTACCGAAACGCGGAGACGACGCGGAGACGTGAGTCACGCGTGCTCTGATACCAGTGAGAAGAGCAGCCGCGCGCGGACACTCGTCGCGTCTGTCGGATGGCTAACTCACCAGCGCGACGGAGACCCGCGCTCCGCTTTCGTTTTCAAACCGATTTTCTCTCCGATCCGATCCTTGGAAAGGAATTGCCTCAATTCCACCCGATACGATGACACGAGGGGAATAACGAAATTGTTTGTTTTTAAAGTAGAATATTGTATTTTTTTTTTTTCTTCTTTTTTAATTACGTTGGAGTAGAGTATTGCATTTATTTAATTACGTTAAGTAGAGTATTTTATTGTATTTCTTTTTTAATTACGTTTGCCGTAATTAGCAAAAAAATACGTAATTCAAATCACGCGAAAGACAAAGTTATTGAAAATTGAAAAATATGTATATATACAGCGAACGTTACGGCTAGATTATTTAACGACGACATTCCGACATCTCTTTGCTAGACCACCGTGGAGCGATCAAAGGCAAAGGAAAAGAAGATATTCACGACGGATAGGTTCGGGTCGAAGTAGCGAGTGAACAACGTCGGGCCTCGGTGGAGGGACAATCGTCGCGAGCGTGAAAACGGGCCAACGAGGGAATCATTGCCGTATTCCACTGACACGAGAAACTGTATCGCGCGCGGCGTGTCGGCCTCGAAATAGAATATAGAGGGTTATTTCGGATGCGTCGTCTCGTTGGTCTAGTCCAGGGCTGGTCTAGACCTCCGGGGTTCAGCCGTTTTACGAGCTGCCGGCAGGCAACACGACCGCTTAGGTGGTGACTACAATCGAGCGCAGGTGCACCGTGCCGCGTGTATATTTGCCGTTCGTCTCGCCGCCTTATTAAAACGCGTTACCAACGACGTAACGAGTGTCGAACGCCACGTGAACGCCGTTCCGCCGCGGCGGAAAGAACAACGGGGGTGGTTTTACACACGGGCTGATCGTTAGGGTTCACCGATGACAGGTGTCTTTTTTTTTTTTTTTTTTTTTTTTTGTAAATTATACCCTCTTTCTGCGTTCTTATCTTTGAATCGCGCAATTG